GGGACCGTAAACTATTATGTCTGGGTATCACCCATAACGTGTGATAGGAGTCACGAGTAAACAAGAACTGTCACAGCTCATTAGAAGACATTTGAGAGAATTTGACTACAAGAGCATGTCGATTAGAGCCCACAGAGTGTGCTCAACCTTTTCAGTAGGCATTTAGCCTCCAATAACAATGCCAAACTACCTCTCTGAGATAATTCTTCCAAAGTATAGATGGGCATTCATGCTAGCATACCTGAATACTCTACCTTCAGCTGTGATGTCAGGGAGATTTAATGGGATTTCATACTCAGATTGACTCTGTAATTGCAGCAGCAGTAAAATTGACTCTTTGGATCATATTCTGCTTGAATTGTCCAAACTTTTCAGCTCTAAGAGATGGACCAATCACCCCTTTATTTAATGAGGATTTCTTCTCTTCAGAAGCAAAATCATCCTGGTTACTCAGAGACAAAGATAAACAAACTACCGTGCGTGTGACCAAATTTCTAGCAGCTGTTGTCAAATCACATGACAACTTTTGCAGTAGCAACCTTTAAATTCTTCCATGTTTTCCTGTGGAATGAAGTTTATTGTGAGACAAGGGTTTGCTGTTTAAGACTCTGGGTGCAAAAACAGCAAAGACAATAAATGGTGCAAGTATGAATTTCAACAGCACCAAAATAAAAACCCAATAGAAATTACATTTAGCCTAGATCCTAAATGATTTTATTTATTTACTTATTTATTTATTGCATTTATATCCTGCCCTCCCCGTGGACGGGCTCAGGGCAGCTCACATTTATCGGCACCATGTGCCAATAAAACAATCATAAAATAATCATACAGTAAACAGTTAACAATTTAACAATTTAGTGCTTGCAATGGTGGTCGTTCCTTCAGTAAATTAAAGGTGGCGTGCTGTAGAATGTAATTCTAAAATCCCAATTCAGTGGTATTCCAGCCTCCCACAATGCTGTGGCTCGATCTCCATGCAGGGCCAGCCCTCTACCATAGATGTTATAAGTAATAATAGTTGGTGGTAGTGGTGAGCGGCTCCTAGTTGAAAGCCTGGTGGAAGAGCTCTGTCTTGATATGCAATGCTTGACATGAGGTGAATTTTCAAAGCCAAGGAACACTATAAAAAGTCCTATGGTGAGGATACCTGGAGGACATGTTAATTTCTGGGCTGTTTCATGTAGAAGGAATAATTAACTCTGCATTCAAACTAGTCTTCAAGAAGGGCATAAAAGTGATTTATTCATTAGAACGTAACAGTTTATGTTGAAAATTCAGTAACTTATCTTAAACATTTCTCATTTTAATTAGTAAGATTTCTTTTTTATAGGATATACCAAATATTATTGAAGACAGCTTGGGAATTCCTTCTCACACAAATGGAACAATGCAGACAAATAAAAGGTAGAATAAGTATCTTCTCTTGAAAAAGAAGATCACGTTTCAAACCGTCATATAAACAGTCAGAAATTAATGTAAGAAACACTGAATTTCTCTCTCTGCATATGGAATATTAAAGGAATCTGTCCACAGATTCCATCAGTTAGATTCACATGTAATTTCATACCCAGTTAGCTTTTTTTTCATCTTGTTCCCGGGATCAGCTCACACATGGGTGGACCAATATGTAAGTTAAACATGCATGGAGCAGAAAGAATTTATGCATCCTCTCCTCCTCTAAAGGTAAAGGTAAAGGCTCCCTTGCTCGAAAGCCAGTCGAATCCAACTCTAGGGTTGCGGTGCTCATCTCCGTTTCAAAGCTGAAGAGCCAGCACTGTCCAAAGACATTTCCATGGTCATGTGGCCGGCATGACTAAACACCAAGGCCCACAGAACGCTGTTACCTTCCCACTGAAGTGGTACCTATTTATCTACATGCAATTTCTTGCTTTCAAACTGCTAGGTTGGCAGGAGCTGGAACTAGAGACGGGAGCTCACTCCGTCATGCGGCACACTCGGGGCTCGAACTGCTGAACTACTGACCTTCCACAGCCTGCCGTTCAGTGTCTTAACCACTTGAGCCACCGCAGCTCTCCTCCTCTACCTAACTGTTAATGTGAATTAAGGTATGCACAAAGAAGGAGAGAGACAGATCACACATTCAAAGCCTATCAGTAGGGAGTAAAGTGTGTATGTTTCTGTTTTCATTAAAGATTAAATTTGTGGCAAATGATGTTGATCAAGCAAAAAAAATTCTACTGTAATATGAGAAGTGGTACTTAGTACTAGAAACAAACATTTTTAGTTGCTAGTTTGTGATGTTGCATCGCTTTTGTTATCGCTATTAATTAAATGTCACCTTCTCAAACTGTTTACATTAGTAAATGTTATGACTCTTCAAACATGTTCAAAATTTCTTAATTCTTCACCTCGGAAAATGCAAAGTCAATAGAGTTCTCCAAATTCAGGAAAAGATATTATTCACTCTTCTGTCCATCATGCTTCACAATCGCTTTTGTAGATCAGGTGCCCTACCCTTAGTACCATACATTGATCTTTATATCACAAAGAATGAAGGAGGCCTTTCTCTGCTAACAACAAATGTTATTTTCATTCTCAGGAGGCTCTGTTTTGGAGAACTTTCCAGCTTCTGCTCCTATTACTTTCTGTCTTGCCCATACCCTGCTTTTGTATACATATATTCCTTCCAACACATACCTGCTTAAAGGAACCAACCCTCAGAAACAATCCATGATCTATATCCCAAATACATGATCTATATACCAATTTAGATAATGATTATATACAAACAAGCCATTCTCAAAGCAATAGCTTAGGTCTTTGTTTTGCGGGGGGGGGGGGTGCACTGGGTTGCATATAACCAGCTTTTCCGATAGCAAAAAAGTTCGGGAGGTCCCCTTTCACTACTAAAAAGGCTGTGCTGGGAATTATGGGACCTGCATGGAGAAAAGCCATATGGAACAGGAGCTATAGTATGGAGGGGAAATGTGCATGATTGAAAGCATTTTGTTACTATCATATTTGGAGGACCCCATTTCTTTGCTGGTTTTCTGCATTTATTTATTTGGTCAGTAGCACCTCCTTAGGTAATACTGTTTCAAGTATAGTCATTTTTTTATTTTCACATCAGGACTGCACATAACACCTCAGTATTTTCATACTGATAATGTTAACACCTCTAGTGAAGATTAAATGATGGTATTTTTATTTTTATCATCTGACTCTCAGTGGACCACTGACTCATCAAGCTGTGACCTTGAAACCAAGAATGCATTAAAACCTCAAGCTAGCAATGAGGGGGGGAAATCCTCTTTTACTGAGAGCAGCAGGAAAAGAACACTCTATACAAGGCTAAACTTTAAAGTAGTACCTGGTGGGTAGGAACAAAAAGGCCATCTCACTGGGATTGCTAAATATTTGCAAACTTTTGTGGTTACGTTTAGTGACTGTAAATCCCTATAGAATATTTGTTACCCATTTTGTTCCACTATATTGTAAAATTTCCAAGGTAATGTGATAAAATATGAATAAAAAGAGGAAGCCAGCTATACCTCAGTTCAGGCTTTCTGGGTGTAATTACATTCAGGAATGGTACATTTAAACAACGAAGGTCCCTGCCACACGGGACGGCTGAAACACGGCTAATCAGAGCCGCACCAAACTTGAGACGCCGCGGCGGGATCCCACGGATCCCCTCAGCCGCGGCGCATCGCTCCCCGGCACGATCAGATGCCAAGGAGGAAGAGATGAGGGGGAGGGGGAGGCTGCCAAACTGCGCATGCTCGAGCATGCGCAGTACAGCAGGGGGCAGGGGATGCGCCGGCGAAAAGACGCGCCGGCGATCCCACGGCCGCATTTGCCGCGGCCCATTCAATTGAACCACCCAGGTAGGTAGTTCTTCTTTGATGCGCGTTTTGGGCGGTTGGGACGGATCGGGGACAGCCACGGCACGATTGCCAGATGTTGCTGTGTGATCGCGCCCGTTTGATGCGGCCCCGATCCGTCCCTCTCCCGGCCCAAAACGCCTCGTGTGAACAGGGCCATAGTTAGCTCTGCAGTGTTATATAATTCATTTTCCACATGCATAAAATAATAAGACAATAAATGTATAAAGCCTAATACATTAAGAAGTTAAAAACTAAGCTATAGCTAAATGCCACAGGTATTGCAATTTAATTATATGAACCCGTAAACACTTTATTTGTTAAATTTCCAAAGTCAAAATAATATTTTTATTCTCTGTTTATTATTCTTTCACATAGGGCATGATCCAGTCTACTATAGATGCAAAATCCATGGTCAGGTTTCCATAAACATGTCACAGAGCCTTGTTTCTGCACATCCCATACTTATGTACACACAGGCTTGTGCAGGCAGTAGTAGGAACCATGAGGGAGAATAAGAGATCTGTGTGAACTTCCTGTATTTCTTTTTAGCTTTCTTTTCATTCAATACAAGTTTCTCATGCCACAAAATTTGTATGACCATGTTGAGTTTTTTCCTTGTATTCAAATGGTCTAATCAATAAAACAGATGAAACAGAAATAGCCAAGCAACACTGCAATCATGTCAGTGCTTTTTTTCCCCCAGCTACCCTAGTTAATGTAAAATGACTCAGGCCACATGCAACTGCTTGAACTTTAAGATTTCTTGTATGGCAAGTGAACCAACCCTTAGTATAAATACTAGTGAGAAGCTATGTCAGCTATTATTAACATATTTAGTATTTATTCATTTATTTATTCAGATTTTTACCCCGCCCTCCTGGCCAAAGCCGGCTTAGGGCAGCTTACATAAAAACAGATAATTAAATTAAAAACATAAGTTGCAGTTGAAACAAATTATAAAATCATATTAAAGTGCTAGTAGTTGTTAATATTCGTACAACAGTAGCAGCCAATAACCACTGTACAAAGTTCTTATCTCACAGTCAGCTTTTAATGTTTGTTTGGAATGTCCTTGCAGGGCTTGTTGTTCTTTAGCCTGTAGATGGCAGTTCCAAATTATTAACATATCCAAATTAATTCACAGATTACCTGACTTTGCAATTCACTTTGTTGTTTCAGTCGAAGGTTTTCAGGCGTGTCCGCCACGGTAGTAAAGGACTGCTTTGGGTAATGCCTAGAAATTAAAAGAGAAGGGATTAACCACTTTCACCAACTTCTAACCATCTCATATGTCTTGTGCCTTTTGCATGCCCACCCTCCAATTACCTACCATCTTCTTATGCTACTGCCTTTGAAATATTCTCATCCTTGAAGCTGGACTAAGTTCATGAGCTACAGTTTGAAATCTTTGGATTTCAGTAATGCTTTGAGCTCTCGTTTGCATATCAGCAGTGAAATATTGATTACCTGCTCTGAGTTTTGGCTTGCCTACTACTTTTGACCCAGGAACTGATCTAGCGGAAACCAGTTCAGAGTGGCAAAGGTCGTTCCTATCCCGCTTTGGAGGCCCAATTTCCTCCGCCATGGAATCGGGCCCCGGGGGAACTCCGCCCCCGAAGCGCAGCGTGGCTGCGTCACCAGAGGTGACGCAGCCACGTTGCTCACGTGGGGCCGTGTCGCACCCACGTTGATCGCGTGGGGCCGTGGCCCAGATCGTAAAAGAGAAAACTCTATGGTTTTCCCTCTGACGATCTGGGCCACGCCCTCAACGTGAGCGATGTAGCACGTCACTTCTTGTGACGTGCTGGCAGCGCGTGCGCGCTTTGCGCATGCGCACCATTGAGGAGCTCCCAGAGCCCGGCAAGGCTCCCCTGCTGCCAAGGTAAGAAGACTTGGCAACCCTACCATACCATGACAACCATATGTTACAATTCTGTTTACAGGAGGCATCTAAAAACATGAAGAATGGATTACTCATTTTGATGGAATTATTTCATGTGTCTGCACTCATAGGTTTTATGCCAGGAGGTAATTTGGAAATTTTAAGTATTCTGAGGGAATGGGGCTAAAGAGCATGCTTTTAGTCTAGATTATATGTACACTAGGCATGGGGATGGTGGAAATGCAGAAAATAGAAACAAAGTAAAAAATGGAAATAAGGATAAGGAAGGACCAAAAAAAACCCCTACTACCCTTATCATAGGCTTCCAGTCCCAAGGTTGATAAACTCACACAGCTATTGCTGTGTGGATTCAAGATGAAAACCTATAAAAAATATCCAGGACTTGCCTGAACTAGAATGGTTGCTTTAAGAACTGACTCTGTGGTTGGGGGGGGGCGCTAATATTTTATGGCTGGTGAACACACAGTTTAGAGTTCAGTAACTTTGATCACAATCTTATTTTTCATGAGAACTGAGTCAGTAGTGAACTGTACATAAAGGTCTCCTGACATTACACTGAGATCCCACCTACCAAAAGGTCAACCCTATTAGCATTAATCATGTCAGCACATTATTCTAAGTAAATGGAAAATGCATTCAACAAAGGATACACCACAAAGAACAGCAGCCTACTCAACATCTCTTCTTCAATTTGAAATATTATACGCCTGTCATACATTGTTATTCCTAATACAATTTAAAATAGTGAGTCATGCACTTGTCGTGCAGCATGACACATTTACAAAACTGTAAACTGACAGTTTTTATCGTTTCATACCAACTTCTTTTCAGAATTATCTACATTAAAAGCCAAAACAAAATAGTTTACCACATAAACTGCTTGTTAAGTAAGAAACACTGTGGGAAATGTGTTTACAAAAATCTCTCTTAAGACCCATCCTGAAAGAACAGAGATGCAGTTTGCTAATGTAAAGATCTATGACATTTAAGTGTCAAGGCATATACTTCTTTTTTTCTCTCTCCTAGATTTCCCAGTTAGTCATCACATATTTGATGCAAACAAACACATGCAATCATTATGGAGAAACAATTTCTTGCATCCACCAGTCACAGATTGCATTTGAAACTTGCTGAGGGAGGGCAGAATGGAGACCCACCCTGGGTACTATTTACGCAGAAAAGGGTCATGGATTGATCTACTGCCCAAGTCAATACAAGCATATGAAAATTATGCAGAAGTGATCAGACATAAGCTTATCCTTTCTCTAGACACTGCACAGACAATTATGTGATTTACAACATGAGTGATCTAATTTTTATCATCTTCCTTCCGTGCCTTTACAAAGAAGGAGCACACAGACCAGGCATATCAAATAAATCAACAGCAATGTTATTCTTTATTGCAGTTCTCTTTCCTTGGTTATATAACTTTAAACAAACAACCACAAACCAATGCTCAACCAATGTATTCTGTCCTTAACCTAACAACTTACACTCAGGCCCATAGCTAACATGGGGCCCACGGGGCCTGGCCCCCTTGTGTTTCTTCTGGGCCCCCTCCCTCCAGGGCTGCCCCCAAAGTGCTCCAACTTACCACCTGCACTGTACTTCCATTTAATTAGCTGGCGGGCCCCCCCAAGGCCCCCTCCCAAAGAATTCCCTAGCTACGGGGCTGCTTACACTTCACACATTACTTGGGTACATGCATGCCACACACGACCTAGGCTTCCCATCAAGCAGATATACTGGAGTGTAAAGCAAGAAGGGGAGGACAATCTCATAGAGCTTCAAAACAACTATACAGCAAACGTAACAAATGGATTGGTACCCAGACACTGTAACAGGTTACATTCTTCACTGTTTGCTTTAATTAGTTTGTGTTAATTGGTAACTGTTCTAAGAAAACCTAATATTTTGTTTCTTCAGTCTTTCCATCAGTCATTCTATCACTAATTATCTACCTTCAGAGGATAGTTTAATTTTCTGCCTTATTAACTCCCACTAAAAGATGAAGCCTACCTGATGAACCCCTGTCCCTGATCAAGGCAGTCAAACAACACAGAGAATTCATTGGTCACAAAGACTCCTGAAAAATAGCTTACTCTAGAGGAAATATTTGTAATTAAAAAGGGTTGTGAACAATTACCCATTGTGTCAGGCACACCCTCATTTACCTCCTCTCCAATTTCATAATTACTTCTAATTTGCTGTTCCTTTTACCACAGTGGTATTTACAACAGAATTAAGTAAACAATTGTTCCACAAATAATTGTTAAAAGACTAATCACAAAACATGTTTCTTCTTAGGTGTCATTTGAACATTCTTTCAGCCATATGGGAGCTGCTTATTTATGAGCAAGGCACCACGTGACTAGGAGAACATTTGGATGATTCAGTTCAGTGACTGCACTGGTCTTTCCCACTAACCATTAAGGTGCCCAACGGTACAACAGTGATGCTTTACTTCTTTCCCCCCCCCCCCATTCCTGGAGGTTTAAAAGAGAGGCTGACTCCTGGAAGGAAGTTCTTGGGGAGACACTGTTGTTACCAAGGGCAGAGCTTTTACTTTGTGCTCTGCTCCTCTCCTCCTCTGTAAGTTAGTCTGTTCATGACACATCAGTTTGTTGTATTTGCTGTTGTAGTTATTTTCTCATACTGCAAAGTAGACTTCAGTCCTTGTTGAGTGGAGAAAAGCAGGTTAAAAGTATACAAATAAACGAACAAACATATTCTTCTAAGTGCAGGATGAAAGACAATCATCATATTCCTCCATCACAAATTCCACACATAGATTTTATCTCCAGGGCAGCATTCAAATCATTTAGCACTAGCTTATCTCCAGGGCAGCATTCAAATCATTTAAATCTGAATTTCCCCAGTGTCTCAGCTCCACTGCAAGGGCAGAATCATACAAAGTCATTCCTGTACTGAAACACTGATATGCAAGATGAAGACACATCTACATGAAAGTGGGAGCTTCATCTTCAGTTCTTACCATGCCCATCAGCTTCACATTTGGGTGTACTAATTATTACCTGGGAAATCATATGCACAACATTTAGAACCGGGCATCATGTGCATCAGTAGGAATCAGCAAGATCCAATTCTACCATCCCCTAGTTTTACAAGGATGTTTGGAGAGTCTGGGTTTGCTGTGTGTTGGACATGAAGCACTCTTTAAAGTTCAGAGCTCTCACCTGCCCAGCAACACTGCTGGTGGGTGGGGGCTACACCCCTAATGTAGCCAATCCTCCAAGAGCTTGCAGTAGCCCCTGTAAGAAGAGCTCTGTAAGCTCTTGGAGGATTGGCTACATTAGGGGTGTGTCGCCTAATATACGAAGGAGTTCCTGCTACAAAAAGAGCCCTGAGTGTTAGCTAGCTCACCGTTTTTTAGCCTCCGGCTCACACATTTTTTCTTAGCGCAGGAAGGATGGCTCCAGAGCAAATTAATTTATTCAGTAGCCAAATCCCTTGCTCACAACTTTAATGCCAGTAGCTCAGAAAGTATAATTTTTGCTCGCAAGACTGCACAACTTAGACAGAGCATTGTCTGGGTTGGGTATGTTTTTTGCCGCACCCCGATATACGGGTCGTGTTCCCGGACCTGTATAGGGCTGACGGGGTGCATTTGTCTGATCACCTCCACTGGGAACCTTTTAGAGTAGGCTCCTCCCTGCAAGTTGGAAGGCTTCAGAGGTAGGCGCTCCTAGGGGGCAACCAGTTTGCTAGGCTGCTCGTTACGAGCCAGAGAGTTGGCTCACGATCAGAGCTGAGTGACAAGCCCTTCAAGGGCAAGGGGGTTGGTCAGGGAGTGACGCCTGCCTTGCCTGTTCCATGCTTGCTTAGTTGTTATTGCTGCGATGTTCTGTTAAATAGTTAATAAAGTGGCCCTTGTTTTATTCCAAACCGTTGTCTGTCTCGCTATTCTGGCTGGGGGGGGTCAAAGGATTTCTCATTGAAGTTCTGCTGGAAATGCACTTTCCGCTGCACGTTCTGCTCTTTGAAGTTTACCAACAGAATACATCTGATAGCATTCAGTGTGTAAAATGAGTTGGGGGGGATTCAGCACAGGGGGTTTATCCTCTGGTTATAAGTAACATCTGAGCTGAACAGAACGGCTGTCAGTTCTAGCCCCGTGCTGGTGTGAGCTACCAACCTTGTCCCCAGCTCACCGTCCACCCAGCTGTTCAAAAGCTTCAGCGAGTAGATAAAATGGGTACCTCTCCGTGGAGAGGGTGGGCACACTAAACCCCCCGGCGAGGGAGGTGTTAGCCGGAGAATGGAATGTCCAGCTCGTAAGATCGGAAGCCTAGAAAGATCTCTTTGGCATC